AAGCTTGGGATTTGATGTTGGAAAATGTTGACATATGTTTATGATATAATGACATTGAGGTTCTCGATGGCGGTTATATGCTTATGATATAATTTAGCATGGGAACTGTTAATTGGATATTAGAATTGTTCATATTGTGCTCATGACATATTGAACATAGTTGAGAATTGCAATTGTATATTTACATTTGCATAATCACGGTAAACATCGCATTCATGGGCATTAGACATGAGTGTGGGTGTGTGTGTATGTTTTTGAATCAAACATCACTCTTAGTGGTTGATAAGTGGGCTCGGTATAGTTGGACCAAGGTTCAACAAAATCGCACGGGTTGCATGAAAAACTTTTGTTAGGTATAGTAAGAAGGGCTAGATACTCCCTCGGGTGCAAGACTCGGTTACTGGTTTATACACTTCCGTCAATGCAAGTTCAAAAAAGTGTAACGGTATATGGAATTGATGGTGAGATTCCAAAATTTGAATACCCAACAAAGACACATGATTTTTTTTTAAAAAGGTAATTGGATATGCAACATCAATCGCGAAGGCTTAGAATTCCCGGTTTTATACTCATGGCATTGCATGTGTTTATGGGAGCCAGTATGGGCTCGGATTGAGTAGCATGTGTGAGTTTCATCTCATAACATGACATGATATAGGGGATCCATTATGATTTTCATATTCTTGAGTGGATTAATTGTTTCTTGTCGAAATTGGCATGTGAGCAATTCATATGCATCTAGTTTGGGGAGTAGCCTCTTTAGGAGATACCCTATTAAGCGTGGCTCACCCTTTATGGGGACAACATTTTAGGTGCATGATATGCGCCGGTAGACAGCTCACAATCGGGTCCTCATGGTTGAAGAAAAGCCTAGATGTGATTTTTGAAATATGTTTTGAAAAAACTTTTATGTTACTTAGTTTTGGCCATGTGATATTGTAAAAGATTGTAAAATGAACTCATATGAACTGTATTTTGCTTAAAATTGATGTTATATGAGTTTGATATGATGTTGTATAAGTTTGAAATGGATTGAAATTGAAAAATAAAGGAATCGTAGGAAAACTGGTAAAACCTACTGGTAGAACGACGAATTCTTCTACTGGTAGAACTTTTTCAATAGGCTAAACCTACTAGTAGAACATCAAGTTTTACGGTAGAACTTTTCAGTGAGTTTTCCTACCGGTAGAACAATGACAAACCAACCGGTAGAACTTTTCCATAAGGTTTTCCTACCGGTAGAACATGGTCATCTTCTACCGGTAGGTTTTCTTAAAATTTCAAATTCTAAGAATGTTTTTGTTCTGTTTTCGGGTCTTAGGTTCTTTTGTTCAAATGATACAAATGAATGATAAATTAGAGTAAATTGATGTATATTGGACCTTGAATGGGTCATATGATTGAATAGTATATAGGTTATGCGTTTGGGAGTGCTCGGTACAAGGGAGACTCTACCCAAACTTTGTGTTGTGATCCTGGTAAAGGAGATGTTCCGTGGTGTCGGGTTATGCAGCATTCACGAGGATTTTCACGGGTTGATAGGCGATCAACGGGTTGACCAAGGACCTCCGATTTTAGGAACGTCAAACCTATGATACTAGTACCACTACCTCCTTGATTTTTTTCACTTTAAAGTCTCCTAATCCTCATGTAATGTGTCCATCTCTCCACCACTCATCCACACTAAGTAACAAGGTTCCGAAAGCCATCATTTATCCTATGATTACCAACAACATCAAAATTTTCACATTATTCATAAATTCGACTAACTCTAAGTAATTAAATGTAAAGTTGAGTTAAAATGTATGTACTGAGGCCATTAAATATGCAATATTATGCGCTCATCAGTTATCATTTGAACATTGTCTATCAACAGATCCAAAACTTATACTTGCTATCTGTTTGCACATCTTTTATTTTAGTAATTAGAGATGACTGCTAGCAGCCAACTTTGTATTTTTGAGATCTTAAAGTTGGTCTCATGGCAAGGTTGTAACAAGGTTGTGTTGGACTATGGTAAAATTTGCTAGGTGGTTTACCAAATATTAATCATGGTTTTTTTGAAAGTTTCCTTTCCTATTTTAAACTTTATTTAAGTTGGCACTAATAATTTATAGCTTCTGAATTTTGGGCGGCATTAAACGACATTCTCATACTTGTTTGATGGTCTTCGGCTCCCTTTTTAGTATTTATTTTTTATTTTTCTTCTCTTCTTTTAATACATAGATACATATACATGTAGCATTTTGAATGTTTGTTCTAAATGCCAGTGTTACTATTTGATCCACATCAAAATGTAATTTTGTTTTGAAGAAATTTAATAAATTTCATTGAGTTATGTTCTTTTTATTAGAAAACCTGACAATGCTATGCATGATGTTCTAGTGATATACAAATTTTGATGTGAAATTGAGATTGCTTTATTTCACTTTTGTATATTTAGGATAAGTGTGATATGGTTTTTGAGAAATTTTCATGCAAAGAACTGTAACTTCTTTTTTTCCCTTTGATATATGGTGATGTTTGTAGCCTTGACCCCCCAATTGTTCTTATTCTAGCTTTGAAATCATCAGTACCTTTCGGACTTTTCGTCTTCTCCAATGCTATCTCTCTAGATGTCTTCATAATTTTTGGTAAGACTGTAAACAATCAATATTTTAGCTACTTATCCATACTCATTACATTACAATAATATATGAATTTTATTTAATTTATCTATGCATTTGTCTCCATTTTTATTGAAGTATGTCTAAATTACCTCGTATCTTTAACTGTGGTTGTTGCATTTCATAGAAATTGTTATTTACATTTGATCATGCAAAAATCCCAATATGAAACAATGTTCCTTTTATAAACATTCTTGTTGCACAGAATGCCTTGAAATATTGAATTCATGTTTTCCACGTAAGACACCTTCGGCACAAGTTGCTATGTTTTTGGGGTTGCTTATGATGAACATAGACATTTGGATCATTACTCGTGGTTTTATATTAGGGTTTTGTACATACTCATTTGGGTCAACCCATTTTATAAGTGTTACCAAACCTTGGTAGCATATTTTTGTTATAAAGCTATATTTTGGCATTAAGCTTGATAGATTGGAGGATTTTGTTATTATTTCACTGAGTATGACTCGTAAGCATGACAAAGTTGTCGCTTTTCTTGTTGCTCTTGATAGTGTAGTAAGAGATTTTGTTATTTTTTGTTCATGTATTTTGATGGTTATGGTTGCATTGTAGACCAATGAAAAACGGAAGAGGAGGGTATTACCTAGTTCAATAGATAGATTCTGTGCACAAAGTGAGCATCTCCATAGGCTCATAAGTGAAAGCGGTAGAACTTGTTTTGAACAACTTAGGATGGATAGACATACATTCCATGTCTTGTGTTGCTTAGCTAGGGATGTAGGTGGACTTAATGACACTAAAAATGTGAGTGTCAAAGAGAAGATTGGGATATTCTCGAGTGTTATAGGACATGATGACAAATATCATCTAGTTAGGTTCAACTTCATTAGGTCTGGGGAGACTGTGAGCAAGCATTTCAACTCAGTTCTTCAAGTAGTTCTAAAGTTGAGGCAACTACTACTAAAGAGGCCTGATCCAGTCCCAAATAATAGCAATGATCCGAAATGGAGGTGGTTCAAGATAGTCGTTTGTTTATAAATTAGTATGGTTTCTAATTTTTATGAAAATATATAATGTATACATGCACTCAATCCAATTCATCGTAATTGGTGATTACAAGGATGTGTAGGGGCACTAGGTGGCACTCATGTTAGAGCCAAAGTGCCCCTCTTACATCGAACTAGATATAGGAACAAGAATGGGTACACAATAACCAATGTGTTGAGAGTTTATGGGTAAGACATGAAATTCATATATGTATTGCTCAGTTGGGAGGGGTCTACTATTGATTCTAGGATTTTACGAGATACTATCATAAGGAGAAATGTGTTGAAAGTGGATTATGGTAAGCACACAAAAAACTATTTTGAAATACTTTGTTATTGGGTTAGTGACGTAAAGCTATTAGTTTTATTTACTTTTGAGCATTTGTAGATACATACTTTCTCGTGAATAAATGGAGAGGGTTTTTAGCTCCATTTTGTTGACAATGATACCATTTGAAGGAATTTGTAGATGGTGTAGCAGCACCTCTAAATGCGCAAGAGTATTTCAATCTGAAGCACTCTACAACGAGAAATATCATTTAATGGTGTTTGGTCTTCTGAAAATGTGATGGGTTATCCTTAGGCTGACTTTCTTTTACCCTATTCCGACACGCAATGAAATCATTACTGCTTGTTACTTATTGCATAATCTTATTAGGAACGAGATAGAAGTGGATCTATTGGAAGAAGTGTTGGATGAAATTAGTTGGAAGATGAGAATGCGAATGAGAATAACATTATCGATATTATTGAATCTTCTCATCATGGACTGCATGGTGAGATCAATTGGCAAATGCCATGTATAATGAGTGGAAAGGTACTAGGGGGAATAAAAGTTAGGGGGAGCATATAGTTGACTTATATGATTTTGGTTACACCTTTTGTCTTGTGATGTATGTCGTATTATTTCAGTACGCATTGCATGTGGTAGATGTTATGGTATTAGAGGATGTTTTATCTTTATATAAAAATATGTATTCATGTATGCATAAATTTTTTGGGGTAATTAACATACATTTAGTTCAAATTTGCTAATATATAGTTTGTAGAGGTATAATACTAAGTGTTGGAAGCTCACAATTTAGGGGTAGTTCTCAGTCTGACAAGTTCCCTAGAAGAATATGGACATCATCTAAAGAAATGATACTATTAAATACGCTGAAAGACATTTGCAACCAATGTTGGAAATTTCAAAATGGTGCGTTCAGATCTGGGTATCTACTTCACTCGGAAAATCTCAATCAGATGCACTTAGCAGAGTTGATTTGCATGCCACTCTGCAAATTGAGTCAAAGATACGGGTGATTATGCAAAAGATTTGGAGGAGATGGTCATGGGTGAAACTGCAGCTATTCTAGGTCAACAAAGTGAGGACATCGCTGGTAATAATGCAAACATGATGAACACTGGTTTGTTAAAAAATTGCACACAACAAGGTGTAGTTGGACATGGTGACACACCTACCAGTCGGAAGCAGCGAAAGAAGAAGGTTGGTGAATCATCTTGGGGAATTGCCACATAGCCTCGATAAAATGACCGACATACTTGGTGATTATGTCGTAAATTGTGGAAAACAACTTTCGACATTGCACATAGGGTGGGTATGAGTAAGATGTTGCCGAGGCTAAGGGCAAACTCAATTATGAGTTGGATAAAATAGATGGCTTTGACAATGGACCAATGAAAGGACAATGTACAAGATTGCCAGTGATCCCATAAAGGTTGATCTATTCATGAGCTTGCCGTAAAGTGAAAGACCATCATGGCTTATTGGCGTGCTTTGCGGTATGGATCTTTTATGGACGGCTAAATGTATAATCTTCTTCTTCATGTCATATGATAATCG